AAGGGACAGAAACACAGAGCGTCTGTCTGGGTCCTGGTCTCATATCCTGGCTCTCCCTGTCCGCCTCAGACCTTCTCTGCCTGACCATCCACCCCCGAGAGCCACCGACCCAGCTCCTACATCAAAGGGCTGCAGTCCTGCATGTCTCAGATCAGGAGGGAGATAATGAGGAGGAGCAGGTTGACCAATACTCATCCAGGCCGTTATACAAGACACAGAGAGAATACGTGATCAGCACTTCTTTGAACTTTCTACTGTACCAGTAGTCACTGTCACTCCGTGTGTGTGTGGCGACCCAGCATAGGAAATGCTGTATTCTCCCCAGAGGGAAACTATTTTGTGTGTGTGTGTGTGTGTGAAATGTTTTCACGATACAGTGCTGTTGTGTCTACAATGTTAATAATCTCCATTTTCCCATTGGCCAAACCTGCTGTGAAGTATGTGGACACTGTGGTCAGGGAGCCTGGATCACTGGTTAGATACCAGGTGGATGTTTCTCCAGCTACTCTGGTTTATCCCCCCCCCTCCCCTGCCCACCCCCTGTTCCAAAAACCAAATGGACTATTGGTGTGAATGTGTTTCTACTGTATATGTGATGAACTGGTGTAAGAAATGTGAAGGATTTAATGGTGATACAGTTTCCAGAAGTGGCTTGTCCCTATTTGAAACACATACACATAAGTTACACATAAGAACATTTAAAAATGAATCTAAAAAACTATCATTATTAATATAACACCTATTAACAAAGACAACAAACAATTTGGGGAAAAACGTGATGTTTTGGCAAAAGTGCGTTTTAATTCTCGGATAAATAATATTTTGATGTCTCACATTCACCAACCACATAATGATTTACCTCAGAATTAGGATAATGTAAAACCCTTTAAAACACTAACAAATAAGTGGTAAAAAAAATGAATGTCAGAAATTAAAAACCCAGAGTTTGGAACATTTTAGAGTCTGTAACTGTTTTTATTTGTTTGATTCATGTTTCTGAACAAACAACTGTTTTGTTTCTGTGTCTTTTTGTTTAAACAAGCTACATTTTTTCTGCATTAAATTGAATTAATTATATATCACATCAGTTCTATCACAGGGAGGTAGAGGTTAAGAACTAAACAGCAACTAAAACTGACACGTGAATTAAATGATATAAAAGGTTTCAGACCAGGAACTATCAAAACACACAAAGTAGTAACATTTTTATAGAACTCATTTTAAAACTATGGTTTTTCCTGCACAGTCTATTCATCGCAGGTGTCTATATCTGATTGTGTGTGTGTGTGTGTGCTGCCCTCACACTCAGGCCTCTGCTGTCTGTGAGGTAATGGTCTCCTGCTGACTTCATCTTTGATTGAGACTCTTTCATCTGTAATGGCCCTGTTTGTTGCTCTGTTATAGACACAAACATACACCTCTCCCCCTCTCCCGTCCCCCCTCCCTTGTCCCCCTCCCACCTCCTCACCTCTACCACTACAACCACCAATACTCTTCCCCTGTACCACCACACCCTCAGGCGGTGTAATCCCACCACAGCAGAGACACGTGGGAGTCGCAGGACAAATATGAAAAAAGAATATTGTTTAGAATTATTTTAAAAACAACATATAACTGTTTTGCTGCCATGAGGTCAACATTTTAATTTGTGCAAAAGTGATTATATTTGGTTTCAAGTGTCAAACATTATTTCTTTCTTAACCAGAGGTACTGGACAACACACAGAACAATTTGTCTTAGAGACAACGTTTAAAAAATTATATTTTATGTTAATGTTGGACATCAAAAACAATGGTGTATATATTATATATATTACTAGTACTGACAATAACAATTTTAGAATTTTACATGCACTAAATTAAGTCGGGAAATGTGAAAGATTAAAGGTCATGTTATTTAACGTCTTGAGATTTACGAAATGACGAGTGTAAATTCACAAGAAATATTTTTATAACGTTCTTCCATTTTGTTTGTTTTATGCAGAAACTGATGTTTACAAAGGAATATATCAAACGGACGGTTTCAAGACTGACTGAAACTAAAAGTGTCCTGAGACACAAAGAGAGGGGAAGAAAAAACAATAAAGTCCAACATCAAGCACCAACTCTGACCGTTCCTGAATGGATTCCTCTATGCAGATGAAGGCGCTGATGACGCCTAATAATCATTGATCTTCATTGCCGGCAGTCTCCAGCAGTTGCCCGCCCCGTCTGTAACACAGTCAGTTAAGGCCTCTTCCACTGTCTTATTGATCCCTATCAAGCTCATCAAAGGCTCCCTGGGCTTTGATGGGGCCAGCAGGACTGGTCCCAGTGGACGTGCAGGCACAGCGACTCCTGACTTATCAAATGGGGGGAGGAGGGGCAGCGATACACAGGGGGCCGTTTCCTCAGATTGTGACATTAAAAGTTTGCCTCAAGGTCCAAGGAAAAACAACCTATGGCTCTGGTGGTTTCAGTGAGCCGACACTTGAAGGACTATTCAGGTTGTTACCGTCATTATTTACACAGAACTGTGGTACAGTTCTGGTGAGAAATAGAAATATTGCAGTACAGTACTTTTATAAACAGTACTCACATTCATTCACAGTTTCCCATTGACTCACACTGTTATTTACCTTTGTTCAGTTTAGAGGAAATTTGACTCTGTCTTTGGACACAGGGAATGCAACCAATTATGTTTTTGCTGTAAGGCAAGAGCACCGACCACCACTACACTACACTACACACACACACACACACACACACACACACACACACACACACAGAGGGAATATGCGAACTCCATATAGAAAGACCAGAAGGGTGTGTAGGGGCCACGCCGTCACCTCAAGGGCCCCTAATGTGTCTTTATGCTAAGGACTGTTCTCAATGACAAAGACTGAGTGTTTGTGGTTGTTGGTGATCATACACCTGACTTCAACGCTACAAAATGTATAAACCTGTGCCCTGTTGGACAATGGGCACCGTCTGGAGATGCTTGGCTAACACAGCACAGACACAATTCCAAGAGAATATCAGAATATTATATACAAATAGAATATCCATCCATCCATTTTCATCTGTTACCGGGTCGCGGGGGCAGCAGTTGCCACCCAAATCACACTGCACCGTACCAACCGCCCCGAACCTTCCTGTGGGTGGTGAGTCCACTGGAAGGTACCAACCACCCTAACTGGGATTCGAACTTGCCCAGGAGGTGAACCCTGGGGTTCCACACCAATGACAGAGACATTACTTCTGGGCCAAAGCGCCACCACAAATAGAATATCCACAAGTAAATTATATCCAAATATGTTAAATGATTAGTCATTCTGATAACAACAACAATAATAATAATAGTGAATTCTGCACAGTATGTATAAAATATATTCATGAACTTCAGTGTGTTACATAGAGGCCCATAGTCATATCCTTTCATGGGGCCCAGAATTTCTGGCAGCGCCCCCGGTGACTGACAACTGTCTTATTTATAAAACATGTTTCATGTTTGCTTCACAAACTGCTGAGAAACCAAAAAAAAACCAACCTTTTCTATATTTCAGTCAATCATCATCATCAGGCAGAGGAACCAAGGTGTCTGCTCTCTTCTATCAGCACTTTCAATCTTAAACTTTGAACAACACCAGGACCCGACAGTTGAGACCACAGTGGCTGTGCACACTTCTAAAGTCTTATTTTGTTTTTTACTTTGTCTGGAATCACACAGTTAGGGAACCAAGAATTGTAGAGCTACAAACGATGTCTAAAGAACCAGCTTTGTTTCTGTGTCAGTAAATAAAACCAGGAGCCTCTGTTTCACATCCTTCATCACCAGATCAAATGCATTTACATTTTCACAGACTACATCCTCTCCCCTTTGTTCTTCAGCGGCCCAGACTCTCTGCCTCCTCAGTGAAGGACAACTTTACTCTCGTGTTTTCTTGTCCTTCAGAAACTTTCTTTCACACTTTCGGTGTCAAAAACAGAGACGTGCTAACGGTAGAATCCAGGAAAAAACTTCAATCATTGTATCCTCAGATACAAGTCTTCACACTACACACACACACACACACACACATCCACCTACAGTTAGTGCTGGAGTTCAACAACTTTTGAATCCTTGTATTCAAAGATACATGTAAACATTACGAGAGAAACCCAACATTTTGCATGAGGTGAGAGCACATGTCACAGAGCGCTTGTGAGAGAGGAGACGGCGAGAGGTGTGAGCGCTGACGCGGCCTTTGATCCTAAACCCGTATTTAGAGGTTAATGAGGCTGTTAGGAAGAGGTGTAGGAAATGCTTTGGAGTTCACACATCACACACAGGAAACATATTGGCAGCTCCTGACAGGTCTCAACAGTAAAACAAAAATCACTTAGAACCGGAAGAGCCAGAAGTTATCATGTGGATAATCTGGACTGTAACATCTGCATTTAAAGGCACAGTTCAGTGGGACTGTAGGACTGATGTTATCACAACCAGCTTCATTATCAACCTGTTACATGTTGTAACAATTTCCACATCAGACACCTCTAACAAGGTTTCTATACCAGGGACCAAAGGCTGCAATAAAGAACTGGAGCCTTTTTGGTCCTGACGTAGTTTCTGGACAAAGGATAGAACTATTAGACTCTGCAGTAGATGCTGGAGACATGGAACCGCCTGAGTAATCCAAGGAGTCGCTGCACTCACCTGCAGAGTGCAAAAATGAAATAAAATAAAAACAAAAACAAAGGCGAGTCTAACAAGTTCTAACATCTAAGGCAGTTCTAACATCCAATATATAACAATTGAATAATTTTCGAAGGATTTTTTGTTTCCATTTCCATATAGAAATTACATGTCTTGTCCTCTGTATTTTTTTCTTTTCAAAGATAGATAGATAGATAGACAACATATAGATAGATAGATATGGATGGGGGCGTGGTTACAGCAGGAGACGTTCTGAAATGGTTCATGAACAGAACATATTAAGAATGATCCACAAATAATTTCTTTTAGAAAATAGCACTGTTGGCAAGCCACATTTTTATTACTATATATTTCTGTAAAGATATACAAATGACAATTAATTATATGCTTTTATTTCGTTCAGTTTAATCAAAGTGCAATTACATTCACATTGAAGGCACATGCTCTTTGCAAGTGCAAAAAGGCACAAGAGACCACACAGGCTTTCCCTTTACTACGTCCTCTCAAAAGCAATTCCTACTTTTTTTTCTTTTAAATCCTCCGACAACATCACCGCTCCTGCCGTAAACTGTTGTCCAAAATTAAACACAGATTAAAAGTATTTTCAAACAGTTTCGTACGGTTTAAAATCAGAGGCACAACAATAACAACCGGGAAAAACACACACTTTAAACAGATTTAATATAAAGAGAAATGGCTGTAGGAACCGGTGGGGAGTGGTTGACATTCCTCTGAAAACTGGACCACACTACATTTCTTACTTCTTTCCTAACGCTGATAGTAAAGGACAGGACAGTGAGGAGAACAGTAGTTCAGACCAGTTTAACCGTTCACCAGTAAAACCTGTTTTATTGATTTTTGTGATTTGTTTTTGTTTAATTCCTAGTCTTGTCACAATGACAGACCCGTGCTCTCAGTCAGCCTGCAAAAATGTCACGACATGCCTGAATAAATAAAAGACTTTAGGACTAAGGGTGCTGCTGGGGAAAAGGCTTCTACATTAGTCCAGGGTTAGGGCAGCCAAACTGATGGAGCAGAGAACCACAACTACATAGGTCTTCAACAGGAGATTCACGACACCTAGGGGATCCACAAAGGTATTACAGCAGGACTGTGGATTTTTTTTTAGGTTCATTAGACAATTGAACGTTTTAAACCCAGCACACCCTTTTCCCCCCACAAATATAAACATCTTAAATTTAAACAATAACATCCATCCATTGAACCCATTATTTTATTAACTTAGCATTAGACGCAAGCTGGCAGCTTTGTTTATGTTTATATCCATTACATTTCCACATTTATGTTAAATAATAAATTGAGCTTGTTTGAATGGTTTTTCATTAATAACCATTGCTGCGTCAACACCAACAGGTGTGAAAATGAAACAGCAGCATAAAATTATGTTGCCATGTATAAACTTGCTTTTTTTTTTAAGTTCATATATTCCTGTTTATATATGAAGCATGCCAAGGTAGTGTGAGCAGGGCGGCTGTGACACCATTTCATAAACACACCTGGTCAACTAACAATGTATGTTCAAAGACTTTCAAATTTGTGGGAAGAAAAAATTATGGTTCAACAAAAAGTTCCACAACCCCCATGTTGAAAACCTCTGCTTTTGACTGTTCTGTGTAAGCTGTTCTCCATCATTGAAGTTGGGCCTACAGCTGGCTTTATAATGAGATGACAGGACATGGGTTTATTTTCAAGTTGCGAAGAAAAGAAACTGTGACTGCAGAAAAGCGCAGCCTTTGGTCGTTTCCTTTGCTTTAATACTGGAGCAGCCTTTGAAAAGACAAACCGACTTCTCCCTCACATATCCACTGTTCACATTTCTAATGTGGAATCAGTAACGCAGACCAACCACGACCTTCACAAAAGTGAGGCATCAAACTGGTTCGAGGCAGAGGACAGAGGAGTCGGCAGTGAAGGAGGCATGTGGCAAAGGACCAGGAAATGCAGAGCGCGGAGGTATGAAAATACTAACTCTTACAAATAATCAACACCACCCACTACATCACGGCAACTGATTACTGTCCATATGACTGTGTGGTGTCCCACACTACAGAGAAGTCCAGGATTAAAATGGCTCAACTGGAAACAGTTGGGGTCGAAAAACAAAGAACCCTGAAGGAATCACGCAGGAGAAAGGTGCACGGGTGGGATATAGTGGGTGTTTGGCAGCATCTTTGGATTGGAAACACAAGTAAACCCTCTGAAGCCTAATCTCCCTCTCTTTTTTTTTTACTTGATACCACGACAGCTGTCACCTACGCAGGACTGCAGCTTGATGAGTCTCTGGTTCATGATCTGCAGGACTGCAGGGTCCACCTTCTTCACAATGTTCTCCAGCTGGTGTGGGTCAGTGGTCAGGTTGTACACCTCCACAAACGACTGAGGACAAAGTGAAGAACAAACTTATTCATATATACAGTAAAAAAAAAAAAACAGCTCATCACCACATGATGTCACTGGACAAGCCAGTAGGTCAAGGTTAACCTACTGCTGTAGAAATGCAGAACTACAATGTCAGCTCTGTGTCGTTAGAAAAATGGTGGTCATGACATGTCTCTACATGACACACACTTCAAAAATGACCGTCTGTTGCACTGGAGTGTTAGTCGCATCTTTCAAAAATGCATCAAACACATTTAAGTCACAGTTACATTTGAAAAGTTCATTTCATGAGGATCAAAGAACAAACATTTAATCTGGAGAGACTTAATTTACCTGTAAACCTAAGTGACTAAATATAGAAACATAACAGGCTAACAAGTTCAACTAGTTCCTGATCTTATTCCACATCACTGAATCCATTCATCAGTGTCACTTCCAAACAACTCCACCAATTCCAGTGGAAGATGAAGCTCTGCCTCCTCTTCTAGTGGACTGTGGTCAGACTCAACATCAGTTACATTTACTCCACTCATTCCCTGCTGATCGACTGCTTTGTACTACTGCAGTAGCAGTATCCACGTCCATGTCACGATAAGTCCCACAATAAGGGTGCCCTCTTGTGGCCATAGATGATATGAGCTATATTTTTACAATCAAGTCACTCTGGAACATAAATGACAGGATGAGCCAAACTAATAAAAAAGTGTGACATAATACGAGAACTCAACACAGTTGTGTTGGGAAAACCTTTAAGTACATCAATTCCACCTCCTGCCTTCAACAGTAGAGGGTACTTCAATGAGTATTAATCAGAGAGAAACCCCACAAGCACCAGAAATGTATGCATCACTTCTTTAAATTGATCGGACAGACAGTCTTGCATGAAAAAAACAAGCTTTGATACTGGGCAAAACCAGATCCAAGTGCCTTAGAAGTCACTGGAGTTGAAACATCAACAATACTTCATGGGATTGCAGATGAAGCTTCACGGTCGGCACCACTGACTCTGACTCTGACAGACTGAGTACCTTTGTCTAATCGTGGCTAACAAAAGCATTTTGAGCAGAAGAGAGTTCAGAAAAATTGATTTTAGTGTCAAAGACTGGTTTCCCAAGAATATCCTGGATTAAGACAGACGTCTGTCTTACTTCACTGATCAAGGTTCAAAGGTCATTACTGTAGTGAAAATATGTCAACATCAAACTTCTCTGCAATTGTTCTGTGGACAACACAAACACATCACCACAGGAATCTTTTTTCCCCTCTTTCTTTTTGGAGATTTCATCCATGTCATGGTAAATGATTTCCTTTCAGTTCATATCTGTTTTCTGTTCCATCTTACTGTTCCAACTGGATCTTTTAGTGCTGTTAGTGCACACACACACAGACACACACACAAAAGGTTTGCTGAGGAACACACACAGGTGGGTACGATCCTACATGCACACACATACACAGTTCACATTAACACAGAGGTCCCTCGACCTCTTCTGTGTCAAAGACCAGTTTGATTATAGACAACATATTCAAAGGCACACTCATGCACACAAGAGAGGGTAACACACACACAACACATTCTGATGGTGACTCAGTGGGAACGGCAGACCGCGTCACCTCATGTATGTTTCCTATCCTTCCTTTATTCATATTTCTATACTGCTCTGTAATTTGTTTTGGTTGTTGTCACGTCAGAACGCCTTGCTTTACAAATATAGAATGATAAAAATAGAGTTTTAGGGTTTAAAGGCACCAGTTCATTGTTGTATACATACATTTAGGACATGGTCATATGATCAAGAAAACTATTTGCTGCTTTTTTTGACCCCATTTCTCGAGTACTTTTTATCCACTATTTTCAGGTACTTGTTAGCTGTAAACTCCTAAAGTCAACTAAGGAGAAGGCAGTTTAAAACGTCACGTTACCTCGCTGTCTGCAAACTCGCAGTACTGTAGGTCATCCTGGCTGTCGAGGGTCCTGACACAGGCATATGTGTTGTTGTAGGCGTCCTCACACACACAGTCTGGGAAACAGTGCTGAAAATATGAACAATGAAAATTCAGTGTTTTATTTTATATGTCTGTGATGTGCAAACACAGGTAAGCACCTCTGAACAACGCTAGTCTTTAATGGAAAAAGCATAAAAACTATTTGAATTGACCACTACAAGTGTATGGTGGTGAGTTCAAGTGCAGCTCAACAGTTCTGATATACTCTGTTCTCATTTTGTCTTTGCTGACATTTCAGGAGTGTATGTGGCACGATCGTCTCCCAGGCGTCCACGGTGGAGACTCTCTGAACAAAAGCATTTTTTCTTTTGGGAATTCAATTTAGGATTATTACAGTTTAGGATGAAGATGTAAAGTTTTCAATTTTGTGATTTGTCTGTCAAAGATTTAAGATGCAATAAAAGATAAAGATGAAAGACGTCCAGCTGTACTTACAGACAGTCCAGGGCCTACTTTAGGACAAGCAGGATCTATTGTTAGATGTCCTTCTCCAGTGTATTCAATAAGGAAGAAAGGATGTGTGGAGGCGTTACGTAGTGATGGAGCCTTGGAAGAGAAAAAACTCAGTTAGTATTTAGAAAATGACATCTTCAATGTGAAGTCATGTCATATCTTTTTTTAAATACAAGATCCACTCACTGGACCCAAAGTGCATTCGTCACATGATCGGTACACATATGTATAACAACAGAGAAAACAAAACCCACAGTTTCTCCTTAGCTTTGTTCTCTCTAATACTGATAAATCAATAAAAAGACAACTCTTTCTATGCTCTTCCCCAAACAACCAATTTGTCACAACACGGTCTCACCTCCAAATGTGTTCATTTAACAAAGCGGTCAAAAAGGATGTGGACGTTGACAGCAGTCACACAGCAGACATTCAACAAAAGACGACGCACTGACCACAGCTTTAAGAACATTTGAGGAAAAAAAACAAAAAACAAAAAAATAGCTGACCATCTGTCCGAGGAATGACTGTCCATCCATGTGCGCAGACGACAGGTTGAGCCCAGATATATCCAGTATGGTTGGAGCCAGGTCAATGTTCAGTACTGGAGCCTGAACCCACAACACATATAAAAGCTTAGAGTTAAGTTAAAGTTAGAAGCTGTTAAAAGCTGCTGTTAAGGCAGGTGACATGACAGGTTACCTTCAACGTCTGGTTCGGTTTGATGCCAGGACCCCGGACCAAGAGTGGGACCCTGATGTCAAACTCATACAGCTGCCTCTTATCGATGGGTAAAGAAAACTGACCTGCAGTGAAGAGGTGGTGACAGTGAGCAGTGTGACTAAAGTCTGACTAAACATAATAATATTATGTCTTATTATTATAATACATTATAATATTATAATATTATTACAACAGCTGGAGGTGAAGTTTGACCTGACCTGTGTGGTAGCCGTTGTCTGAGGTGTAGAAGATGTAGGTGTTGTCCAGCTCCTTTATACTGTCCAGTTTTTTGACCAGCACCTCCACCATGTCATCTACAGATAACAACGTCTGCCACCTGCAGGAAGGACGAGCACTTAAACATTTTCATCATCGTCATCGTCCTCCAGGGTCTCCTATGTTCATTTAGTACTAATTAAGCAGCAGCTCACCACTGTTTAATTAACGCTGCCACTGCTTCAGAGTTGGGACAGCTGCAGAATAATAGTCTACCTGTTACCATTAGTGTAGCCTAATTAATTAACATCCTAATGGGTTTCAAGCCACAGAGCAGCGCTTGCGTTATCAATGATGCTTTTATAGGTCATACCTTCAACAGTCCATGAAGTGCTAAACTCATGGGCTAACTCTGCTGCAGCCGGCCTCATTTTGTTAATAGCAGTGTTGGTGATTCACAGCATTTTCCTTGTCAATGTACAAGGAAAATTTATGTCTGTGATTAACGAAACCAATGAACTGGGAACGGCTCAACGGCTGCTTCACACTAGTTAAAGCATACTAGCTAAAATTCCTAAAGGTCAGAGTAATTTCACATAAACACATAGAAAGAGAACTGAAAGTGAGAAGAGAAATCTGGCTGCAATCAGAAACTTCACGCCTTTATGTTCCATTAGGTGTGAAGGCCTGTATGAGTTTCTTTTGAATCTGTAAACCTAATCTTTATTCTTTCTTTTGTGCCACAACTTAGACCGGAAACTAAAATAAATATCACCGACATAAAAACAAATATAAAGTTCTGAAAAAACGAATAATTTCAAAACTTTATGCAGAGCAGGTTTAGCACTTGAGGATCACCTGCAGCAAAATCCAAAACTTAGTTTACTGTTACTGTTACTTCCATTCAAATAAAGGAGCAGTCTAGAGATGATAATTTTTTTTCCACTCATTCTAACTGGCGTGTAGACTTTGTTTTCTGGGATGTAACCCCTGACGTGGACGAGTGTCTTGGCATGTTTGTATGTTTTCATTTGAACACATCCTGGCTGTAAAAGTGAGAATATAATTTCCGTACCTTCTTCTGTACGCATCATCCAAGAAGGTCAGTGAGCTGTTTGACATGGGGTTGACAGGTTGACGCAGCAGCCAGTGTTTATCCTGGGAAGAAACATGAATGGAAGATATTGTCAAAGTCTGCAGATCACATTCAATGCTGGAAGTCTGTATTTATTTGTTGTTGATGGATATTTGAACAATGAATAAAAATAAGGAAATACTTGAATCTTGTACAATATTGTACCTTTCCTGGTTTGTCAAAGCTGCCGTCTCGAGGAGCTTTAACATTGCTGAACTCTTTCTGGTACTGAGGAGCTGCTGTCCACGGTGAGTGAGGCGCCGGAGTAGACAACATCAGGAAGAAGGGATGCTGGGGGCTGCGGTCGTCCAGGAACTTAAGTGACCGGTTTGCCTGTTAAACAAAATAAACAAAAAAGTAAAGGAAAAAAATGTATTCAACACAAATACTGACAAAACGACAACAGGATCCTTTGTGTCAGATAAAAAAACTGCTTTGTGACAAAGAGTAAAAGAAATGGCCTTCAATTTCATCCATATTAGATCCACATACTCAGTAAAAAACTGAGAGCATGGTTGCCATGAAACTAGAAGTAAATCTAAAAGGTTTACCTAACAAAATATGGTTGGGTCAATCAAAGAGTTCTAGGATGAGTTGAAAACACCCCTCAGTGGCCTAATTATGCGTGACCCAAAACCTTCATCTGTGACAAGGCCTATATGCAGGGCTGGCTCTAGTGATCCTGAGTTACCCCTCAGTTATGTGACTGCAGCATTACAGCACCAAGTCACTACAGTACAGCACCACTAATAAAGAAACACAAAGGGCATCAATATAGATAAAATAAAACAAAACTGCATCTGATTGTGTCGGCATGAGGGGGGAGCAAAGGTTTTTGGGAATCGATATTTCCATCAGGTTAGAAATAATTGTTTAAAAATAATCCTACGTGTTATTTTATCCACATTGACGTGTACAGTCGTTTCTGCTGACACAGCACTGACTTGGCTGCAGCTCAGGACTGGCCCCAGGGTGAAGGAGAGAGGAAAATTAACTCTCACACAAAAAATACTTGGCAGTCAGCCGCACAAACATTCATGTGGATCACCTGATGAGGATGGCACAGCGGTCACATGACATAGAGAAACTGACTCAACACCACCACAACTGATTCTAAACTCTTCAACAACACTCGGCCAGAAAGTGGTGATGATTAACCCACGGACTGCTGACAGACTGGAAAAGACTGTTCGAAGTTTTTTTTTAACACTTCTGCGACAGCAGTGGATAAAGATACTTTCATACATAACGACGTCCCAGCCCAGCCAATCGGAGGCTCAGCACATGGACATGGTCATGGCACCTGAGTTCTGAGAGTGAAATGACAACTTACTATGAGGTTGGTGAGGTAGTCCTTTTCGTAACTGTCCCCGTGCTTTTCCTCTTTGCCATTTACAGACAGTGTGTAGTTGTAGTACTGCGAATTCCCCACCTTCAAATGAACAGTTATAGAACAGTTTGTGACTTTTGAAGTACTCACACGTTGTTTTAAGTGAATGTACTCTGTGAGTGTGTGTGTGTGTTAACATGTATGTTTGTGGGACTCACCAGTGCATGCCATTGGTCCCAGCCGGGAGGAATGTGGGTGATGCTTCCTGCATCTCCCACACCATACTGGAATCAAAATACAGATTGAGTCACTGTACACACTGAGAGACAGAGTAAAAACACACATGTTTTTACACCTTCCATTCATTCTTACTCTCAATTTACAGATCTTGTACTGAGGCTAGACGTGGTACTATTCATTAAGGCGTCTTAGTGAAGTGGGACTGCTGACCCAAGGTTACCTGTATGATTACATGAGGATCATTAAAGAAGTTATAATGTGGATTTAAGAGACTGTATTATAGTGCTGTCAATGGTTTACATTTTAAATCAGTCTAAGCACATGGTGGTTGTGGATTAATTATGATTAATCACACTGTTCAGTCAATTATCCTAATAAGACTAAAGTCGCACTGTTAAAGGAAGTAGTGCTTCAACTGGTGCTTGACTTAATTACTGAAACTACACAATTTAAGTGCCATTGAAATAATAATCAGACTCAGAATATACTGATTTAAATCATTAAATCAAATAATTTATCTTTTCATAAAAATTCACAGGTCTTGCGTCTTCATGTGTCCAAACCTGGTTGAGATATTTCCCGGCAAAGAATGTCTGATACTTCTGTTTGTTCAGGTAGACGGGCAGGGCCATGGACTCGGGACCTTTTTGCCACAAAGGACTGGAGCAGTTTCCAGACAGGGAGTTGTTCCTCACCTCGTGGTTGTGAGGGTACTGCCCCGTCAGAATGCTGCTCCTGCTGGGGCAGCACAGAGGCGTCACTGTGAACTTTACAGGACAGAGAAAAAGGACAGGGGTGGTCAGAATAAATGTAATGTTTTATTTTATTTAGTAAATTAATTTTGTTTCTTTGCATCAAGACAAGATTGGAAATAAATATATCAGATGGAAACCAAGGGTGAGGATAAGATGGTTGGGACATGTGCTGAGGAGAGGCAGTGGAGATGTTGGACAGAGTTGTCAAGAAAGAGGAAAGAGAAGAGACCAGAAAAGATGTATGGATGCAGCGAAGAGGACAAGGAGATGGTTGGTGTAACAGTAGAGGAGGCGGGGGTCAGCTGTGATACGTGAAGCCTCAGGCATTACAGGTGTCAAAAGAAAAAATTCCAGGTGTCAATATCACCCTGGAGAGATGCTTTGTAAGAACATAATCATTGAACAATAAAATAAACTATAAAATGACCAATAATTTGAAAGGGTAATAAATGTTGTCACTGTACAACACTGTAAATTCACTACAAACGTTTCCTATTGTATGTGATGTTGTAACAACAATCCACTGTGATGCAACCTAACATGACATTTAAATAGACTGCGGTGATGGGTGGAACTCTGGGTGATTGTTAGGCCTAAAGATACTAAATGATTATTTAAGAGACTGTAAAACCACCCTGTGGTTGGTGCAGCTTTAACAAGGCTCAATATTAGCACATATTGTTAAAGCTTAGATTGCTAAATCTAAATCTTTTGTTTCATAACTCGAATATTAGCACAGCAATATTGTAATATTACATGATAAAGTATCACATGCCTTTTTTGTGTCATTAGAGAAGTTTGTTATGAATTTCTCTGGTATGTGTCAACTGTTCCAACAAGATGTGAATCAAACTGTGCTGTAGAGACCTTAAGTCGCATTTTCTCAAAGACGTTTTTTACAAGTTCACTTAGTTCTGTTTTTACTGTGAATTCTTAGTTCTAGAGATCACATGTAATATCAGCGGTTAGACAGATTAACAAGGGTAAAAGTACCACACACTGTCTACTTATGTAATGTATAACAGAAAACAAAAGGGCTGCAGAGTTGCATTTTTCAGGCCAATGTACTTACAGCGTTGACAAATGTTGCTCCTGCTTCTCCTATTAGGGCTTTTGTTTTTTTCATGGGTGTCTGCAGAACAGAAAGAGGAACAGAGTCAGATACATAAAGTCCCACAAGTCTCAACATTCGATGAACATGAAGACCAACTTTTAGACTTTACATCGAAAAGTACTTAATTAATTAATTATGTAACCTTTAGTCTTCTACAGGGGCACAGGGAGCTGGAGCTGGAGTAGATTTGCATTTAAGGTCATTTTAGTATTCAAATTTTGCACAAACTAATTTAGAGTGACTATCCATTTTGAAAACGACTTTAATGTGGTGCTCTATTGAGCATAGACAAAATAGTGTACAATGGTGGGTACAAATTACTTTCAATTTTGGGGGGAAATTAAATTACTTGTTATTCATTTTCTTACGATCTGTAAAATTACCAGTTTTCTAGGAATTACTGTGTTTTCAATTCAGGTTAATGGAGATTTGAGGAAATGGCAGTGAATATATCAACATGGAGAGGGAAAAAAAATAGTTCTATCTACAAAAAGAGAACGCGTGCTAGATTTGTAACCACCACTGTAGTGGAACAATACAAGTTTAAAACTACTCAGTTCTAATCTGGTTTTTCAAGATAGTAAAGTACAGTCAGTAAAGCCTAGAAAAAATTTGAATCAAAAGTAACATAAAAGTAGTTTAGTCTGAAAGGTGCAGCCAAGACAGTCAATAACAGTCCTTTGCCTAACACCAAAATATTGTGAATCCTTAATGTTTTAAGACTGTGGAAGGAACCAGAAAACCAAAAGAAAACCAATGCAAACATGGGAAGAACATGAAAACCCCGGAAAATAAGATATTAGTTAAGCCCAGAGATCGAACCACTGATAATGTGTCCTTGTTGCTTCTTTAGTTTTAATTTTAATTACTACTGTAATTATTAGCTTTGTTTTTGAGACACTCTTCCAGTGAGTGTGCATGTCCTAACGGGAATAGGCCTACGTCAAACTTTTAAACCAAACATCTATCGTCCATTCTCCCACACAGAAGCGGACATGTGTTGTCAATATCTCGGCCAAACACTCACCATCCCGCCCAGGAAAACGTCCTGGTCGTCGGTGAGGATGAGAACAACGTTGCTGGGTTTAACGCCATCCACGCACCTAACGCAGCAGGTGAACAACACCGAGAGTACAGCAAAGAGGGACAGGGCAGCAGTGTGTCCCTTTCGCCGGGTTCCGCCTCTACCTATGCCCGCCATGACGCTCAAGACACCGCTACCACCTCCACAGGACTGCTGCCGCCGCCGCTGCTGCTGCTGCTGCTCCATGTCCACGTTAACTACCGGCGAACTGTGTCAGAGACTCGGTAGCTATAGCTTCCTGCTGCTGTTGCAGACGACAGAGGAGACTGTTCAGACTGAACAAAAACAGTTTGAGGAAGTGGAGTCAAGATCATATGATCACACAGAGAGAGTGGGCGGGGAAGCGGCCGAGAACACAGTGTACAACATGGGCATTATACAATTTTCATGCCTCATCAGTTAAAGTCTGGGATAAACGGCGTATTCGATGCGTAAAACAAACAAACAACGTTGTCATTTTAAAGTTATGAATACAAAGCAAACATAGACTTGGTCTTGAGACTTTTGACATCTTGACTATCTCATTTTTTAAATCTATTATTATTATTATTATCATAAGATACTATTATTATAAGTATATACAGTATATCTTATTATTATAAGATACAATCAGGAATACAGATATTTATTTGTTTAACTCATATTACCTAAATGAATTTTGTAAGCACTTATAGGTTGGTCATAGTGGAAGCACATAATAACAGTTGACGTTACGCTTTTTAGAAATGTGTCTGGGTTTTCAGCGCTGTCTCTTTCCTACGTGACTTGCCGAATCATTTTACTTAGGTTTAGCAAATAATTCAGTTCAGTTGGTATCACCTAATGGTTACCGTTGAATCACGAGGTTGAGTATCAATGACCTAATCACTAGTTTAAACTCATAGAATGTATTATTTATTCTAGTCAAAACTGTTAACTACATATCTATTGCTCAAATCTTTTTTTTTTCTTTTTCTTTTTTGATGAATGACTTCACCTACATTTTAAGTTTCGTTTCTTGTGCTGTTTCGAATTAAGCCCGTAGCAGTTTACAGCATACTGTTTCTTGACGGACTTATTTTGGTGAAGTACCTGTGGGACACTTATGACCCGCCTTACTCTCTGTTAATTGGTTTAGGCCTCCTAGTTCTTAGTTTTTAAACCAATAATCGCGCTTTATGTTGCCCAACCAATCAAAGACTACAGTAGGAGGTACTTGATTGAAAATGAAAAAAGATGTATGTCCTGTGGTTGACACAGCTGCATCCGGCTCCGTTTGTGCATAGTTTTGCTTTTTTAATTTTATTTGAAGAGGTCAGGTAATCTCGATAAATATAGGAAGGCTGCTAAGATGTTCAATAGGTAGCACTATATATTTTATAGAAAGGTTTTACGAAAACAAGCTTACAAAGCTTACTGACTAAGAATTTTAGGTTTGAGTTGAATTTATTATGAAAGTTATTAAGACAGTTCACCATTGAAGTGTCTCGTTGTTAGTTTCAAACATTAACTGATTATACTTGATCATAGGTCTTTCCGATAGGACGTTATAAGACAACGCCTGAACTATGGTGCCTTTAAAGCGGAGAAAAGTTTCTGAGATTAACACTGAATCTAAATGCAGCAAAGCTAATGCAACAATCAAGTTTCCTGATGCGGTTTTGTTCCTTTTGGAAAGGAAAATGGGAGCCAGTCGAAGAGCCTTCCTCACACAGCTGGGTCGTAAGAAAGGGTTTCATGTGGAGGAGATTTTGAGGTAAGATCCACACTCCAGTGTTTAAGTATGCTTTAGGTCAGTGGTTCCAAAATAAGGAACATAGCTATTAGCTTTCACTTTTAATAGTCTCTTTATTTGTCCCACACTGGGATCATTTCAGTGACTTAACAGTAAAAAAAATGTTTCCCTCTCTCTCTCTCCACTGTGACACTGAACTGATGCCAATGTATGGTCCAATTTTCTAGTTTTTTTCTGAAGGGATCACATACAGTTATAGTCATGTGAACATGTGTGTTTCAGTGTCCTTATGTCCCTACAGTGAAACGGTCACGCATATCATTGCTGAGAACAACTCTGGTGATGAGGTCAGGACATGGCTGAACTCACAGGACAGAGTTGGACACCAGGCATCACTTCACCTTTTGGACATCAGCTGGTTCACAGAGAGCATGCATTCAGGTCATCCTGTTCAGATCCTGGACCGACATAGACTACAGGTGTGTCAAGTTACTGAACACTTCACAGTACTGTGGCTTTTCTCAGAAACACACAGTCATATAATATCTAACACCAGACTGTTTGATAATTGTTTAAAGCATTACACATTTATTTGCTTGTTCCTCATCATTGTTCCTCTGAAATTATATTGTGTATAATTTAGTATCTTTACAATATTTAATTGTAATGACAACCATAAACGTAGATCCTGGTTTTCAATAATTGAGTAAGAAAACAATAGTCTTGTCAACTCTGTGTGTCCTCCAGGAGGAGGAGCAAAGTGATTCAGAGGCTGCTGTGTTCACAATGCCCAGTTATGCCTGTCAAAGGAGAACCACCATGGACAACAAAAACCCCATACTCACTGTATGTCTGTGAACACACACAGGTCATATCACCAGGATTTGAAAACAAGTTTCACTCCTGTGGCATAAATATGTATATGCATAAATATGGATGTACATACACATAGGTACAGTATATCTACATGTAGGTATGCATATATATATATATATATATATATATATATATATATATATATATATATATATATATATATATATATGAAATTCTATGCATAATTGTATACATGTCTAGATATTTTTCTATATGAATAGTTTTGTCATTTGGAATAGTCACAAATAAAAGGAAAAGTACAGAAAACACACACACTGGATTAGGTTTAATAATCATCTACTTTATTTGATTGTGTTCAGAGTTATCATTTGTAATAATGTATTATTAAATATTATGTATTATTACTAAATAATGTTTGGAATGTATTCTGTCTCCCAGGATGCTTTGTCACTCCTGGCTGAAAATGCTGAGCTCAGTAATCAAGATGGACGAGGTGTAGCGTTTCGTCGAGCTGCAGCTGTGTTGAAGGCCCTCCCTGAAGCAGTGACTAGTATGAAGCAGCTGAAGGGACTGCCCTGTCTTGGAGGACATTCACAGAGAGTCATTAAAGTGAGTGAATTGTCTTTTGTCTTTTTTATGCAAAAAAAAAAAAAAAACATGTAGTTTTCCTCCGTACTTGTAGGACATCTTGGAGAATGGAGCATCAGACGAAGTGCAATCTCTGAGGCAGTCTGAGCGATATCAAGCCCTAAAGGTTTGTCAACATTTTTTATTGTTATTGTTTGGTTTTGAGTTTTTTTTTAGAAGGGTAGTTTAGTGACTTGAGGAGTTTTCTCTGATTGTGGAGATTTATTTATTGCAGGTGTTGACGGGCATCTTTGGAGTTGGGGCAAAAACAGCAGACCGGTGGATCAGAGATGGTATACACACCCTTCAGCAGTTACGGGAATCTGGGCACACACTCACTCGAACTCAACAAGCTGGTGTGTGTTCTGATGTTTCTGCGTGTGTTCTGGTTTTCATTCAGTGTCTGTGTTGATGTGTGAATGTCTACGTTGTCTTCTTAAGGACTGGAGCACTACGAAGACCTCAACATGCCAGTGTCCAAAGCAGAGGCGGACGATATCAGCAAGATCGTGGAGGTGGTGGTGGATTCAGTCTTGCCAGGATCACAGGTTGCTCTCACAGGAGGATTCAGGAGGTTAGAGAGAAAACACCTGATCATGGTTGAGTATTCACACACACATGGGACGGCTTTAAAATGTCTATAGAGAAAAACAAACATTTTAGTTATTTACTGTACCTGCGGCTTGTAGCTGTTGCCCTCAGTCTACAGCTTCTCACAATTCAATTAACAGTAGTATCAGTCAACCTGTTGGTTGTAGACCTACTACTGACCTACAGTCTGTAGGTCTGGTCTGACTCCGGCTGGACAATCTGACCTGAAGTTGAAGCCTCAGCAAACACATGATAAGTGGAGATGGTATTTTAAGCTCCAGGTCCTTCAGTGAAACTAAAACATTTTTCCTTTAGTGTGTGTAAATGACAACACGTGTATCAACTTCATTTTGACAGCACTGAAAATATATGTAAAATGTAACACTGAGGTTAAGGAGAGAAAATAGAAGTGTCTGCTGCTGGTTCACCCAATGAGTATCATGTGTAAAAGAAAAAAATACTTGTCGAGTGAAGGTGAAAACAGTTCTGTGAGTTCACAGAACTGTGATCATTACCAAGGACCAAGTCATTTCTTATGTATTTTTTATCATCACTAACTGAACTAATATTTGTGCTCAGAGGAAAGCAGACAGGTCACGACGTGGACTTCCTCATTACTCACCCTGAGGAGGGCAAAGAGGAGGGTCTCATGACTAAAGTGGTCTCTTTGCTCGACTCAAAGGTAGAATTACTCAGGTTGCTGCTCAAGAGGGTTTGCTGTGAGAGGACAATCTAAGAGTTTCTGTCTCTGCAGGGTTTCCTGTTGTACCAGCAAATGACCAGGAACTCTTATGTGGAGTCTGAGGACGCTCCTGCTCTGGCCTCATTTCACATGGACCGATTTGAACGTTGTTTCTCCATTTTCAAACTACCAAAAGACAGGGAAGAGAGTCTGAAACAGCTGGGGTCTCTGTATCCTAAACCTGCTGGGGGCGTGTGTGATGGCAGAGCTGGTGAAGTCTTGCACCGGGAGACTAGTCAAAGCCAAGGTTCACACAGTGAGGTCCAGGAAGAAGTGAAGGAGCCAAAGTCATGGAGAGCCATCAGAGTGGACCTGGTGGTGTCTCCTTTTAGCCAGTTTGCTTTTGCTCAGCTCGGATGGACGGGGTCAAAGGTGAAAGTTCAGTCAGATCCATTGACATGTAACTCATTGTGACTCTTAATGCTTATTGGACTTTTCCTCCAGTTGTTTGAGAGGGAGCTGCGACGGTGGGCGGGGCAGGAGAAACGCATGTCCCTCAACAGCCATGCTCTGTACGACAGTAAACAGGTGCAGTAGATACATTAAACTGCTTTTGTTTATTCATGTAGTATTTTAATCAACACATTAATGTGTCTTGATAAACATTGTAATACTCAAGGACAATTCCACATGACCTGTGCCATCTAGTTGCAATTGTGAAAGTTTAAAAAAAGATGCAGTTCAGAATGTTGTAAACAAAAAGAATGAATAACAAATGAAATAACATCATCACACAATACTACAATAAATGACACGTTTATGGATTTACTACATTTAAAAAAAAAGTACTTTTTTTCCCTCAGGGAAAATATCTTCAAGCCACATCAGAGGAGGAAATCTTCACGCACCTCGGTCTGGAGTTCATTCCACCTTCTGAGAGAAACGCCTAATGAACAGTTTATCAAATTCAGGAACACACTGCATGTGTACGTCAACGTGATGCACTATTTTCAACAACCTCCTTTCATTGGCTGCTCTTGAACTGTATGTGTTGCTATGCTGATGACAGTTGATATTTATTGTGACCATTGAATCTGGACAAATATGCATTCCAGAAAAATGGCCACACCTCCCATCTGAAAAATGCACTTTTCTGAGACAACAAATGTGTTGTTATCTTGCAGAATACTTGTTATGGTACCTCAATACACAATACACTGTTCTTGAGTGTGTCACATAGTATGTACAGTATGACTTGGTTTTAAGTGATTTGCCTGTTATTATTGTGCCGGTAGATGTTTTTGCTCTTTGGCCTTATGATCATACTGTAACAGCTAAAAATAAAATATCATGGTCGTCATCTTCAAATTCTACTTTTATTTTTGTGTCTTCTATTTAATAATAAAATCATCAACAAACAGTGGGCTCTCTTTGTTCAAGTTGAGCTGTAAAAACCTGCAGAACATTTTCTTTGATCTTTCCTTCTAGTTCCACTGAACGTCAAACAGATCTAGTCTAGAGAAACAAAGCTCTCTGCCCTTGACTTCCATCATTAAAATGACACAATTCTTTCATCCTTTAATGTTTTTCATCTTATATTGGTAGTAAATTGTTTACATTAACTCGGTGTCATTTGTGTCAGGCTTTTTCATGCTGCAGAATCTTTTATTCAGCTGTGGAAGGTAGACAGCAATGGCTTCACCATCAGAGATGACAGAGATGTTTGATGGCGCTCTGCTTGGAATTCTGCAGCATGTGGGAAACATCCAGGACTTTCTCCAGATCTATTTTGGATTTCTATATCGTAAAACTGACTTTTATCAGCTGATGTCCGGTCCTGGTGACAAACTGGGCTTCCCCCCTGGAATGGCTGAGATGATTGTGCACAAGGTGACGTTTGTCGGAAAACCCACACATACACATTGCAATGTACATACTGTAAATGTATGTGTAATCTTCTTCTTTTTCTTCTTCGCCAAACCCAACAATCAGGTTTACCCTCTGTCTTGTGTGTTTGTGTTTGTATTCTCTAGATTCCAGAATATTTGATTTAATTTCCTATTATATATTACTATATATAATATATATATAGTAATATATATAACTAAACAACTTTTGGAAGATTTGCATTTATACAGAAACATTGTGACACAGCTCACCACTGCACACAACCAAATGTGACCTCTGCTTTTTACCCATCACCAAAGTGAACAGTGGGCAGCTTTAAGGACCAGGGGAGCAGTGTGTGGGGACGGTGCCATGGTCAGAGCACCTCAGTGGCAACTTGGCAGCTGGTGGATTCGGACCCAAGTCCACTTCCTTAACCACTAAGCCACCACTACCCCTTAGTATATTGGGTGATACAATGCCACCTAGATACCAGTTCAGAGTTAGGTTGTGTCAGGATAAATAAAAACTACAAAACCCTGATTAAAGGACAGGTCTATACAGTAGAATGTCTAATAAATGTTTAATTCTACTAAAAGATAATATTGTTTATTATTGTGTCACCAAAACACAAGATATGGATCTTAAGTTAGGTGAACATCACGTCCTGACCCCTTTTCCTCACCCGTTGCCTCCCTAGACATTTAAACTGTTTGAGAAGGTGGCAGAACATGACAGAGAGAGACAGCTGAGCCAGAAACAAAAGACAGCAGAGAGCAGATGTGTTCTGGCTGCAGCTCAGGAGCTGGAGGTCACCACGGAGCTGCACAAGGACCGAGAACAGCCCAGAAGTGAGGAGGCCAAGATGGAGGAGGCCTGTTCTGTAGATGCTGGGGACGTCTTAGCACCTGCAGCCTCAGCACTAACGTCCAACCCTAAACCAGGCATTGACTGCAGCAGCAGCAGCAGCAGGACTGCCAGAGTTCCTCGACCCTCTGGTCAGGGCAACCAGGCAGCAGACATCAGCACCAACTCAGAGGAGTGAGTTATGAATAAAAAAAAAATCTTGTACTTGTGAATTAACCATTTCTTCACCTGCTCTGCCATTTAAAGGTTGCCTAAAAACACATTGGAAAAATAAAATTAATACAGACATGTTGCGTTTAAGGACTCAGGAGAAGTTTCAGTCCGACGCCGACAGCTTCAACGGAGCAGTGAGAGAAAACTACAGCTGGTCTCAGGACTACACTGATGTGGAGGTCCATGTGTTTGTGCCAAAGGCAGTTGTCAAAGGCCAACAGGTGAACACTGTACAACACGTCAGAATACCTGGTTCTCTGATTACCATCAACCAGTGCAGTGAAACGGTCACTTGACATACTAATAAACAAGTTAACTAACTCAGGTGACTTGACAAATACATGTACAGTGTATAATAATTTACTAGTTGTTTTTTTTTTCCAATTACTCAGTTACACATAGTTAAAAAACATCTAAATCACAAAATCTAACTTCAAAAAGAGAGTATTTTTTAGGAACAGACCAAATTTGTTCACGTAAAATGACAAGACTTTTTTGAAACATTTTGGTTATAAAATCATTTGAATTTGTGATATCATATAATTATAATTCGGTAGTGTGTAGTAGTGACCATTGAAGAATGAATCACACTGTACCATACAGCTACATGCATACGTAACCCAGTATATATATATATAGAAAATATATGTATATATACTATACATATACACACACACACACACACACACACACATATAAGCTCAATATTTTCTAAAAACAAAGTACCAAACACTTTATGTTGTTTGTTGTAATTAAAATAGTTAATTATTTTGAAGAGAAAAACCTGTCTAACCTCAGCTGATCATCGTGCTAACATTCATGGTGATTAACAGTGTGAGGCCTCCCTCATTTACACCTACCGCCTGGTTTCCTGTTTGCTTTACCACCCTCAGGTCCAAGTTAGTTTACAGAGCAGCAGTGTGAAAGTGTGTGTGAGTGACGGAACTGAGGTGAGAACTCTGATGGAGGGAGAGCTGACACACAAGATAAACACAGAAAACTCAGTGTGGAGCCTGGAGCCTGGTCGCTGTGTAAATGTAAGTTGAACTTTGACTCACACGTCTGCCGTTTGTCAGCTGTGTCTTGTGGTCTGTGTCACGCACCGTGTTTGTACCTGGCAGCTGTCCCTTAACAAGACCTCGGATGTTTGGTGGAGTGCGGTGCTGCGTGGGGAGAAAGAGATTGACGTCAACCAGATCAACCGCGAGCGCTCCATGGAGACGGTTACCAACGAAGAGCACGCTGTTTTGGACAAGCTCATGCTTGAAAACCATCAGAAGATGCAGAGAAAAGTATCCAGTTATTAAAGGGTGTGGATTTCAGAACACACAAAAATAGAAACATTATAGATTTGAACTGCGCCATGTCAACTTTCAAACCTATTTTTTTTACAGTAGTTGCCTACCAGTCTTTTTTAGATGCAAGTGGCTCTAAATTACAGAGCGTTCAGTCATGTGTGTTTTCATTCAGATCATTTGTTCAGCCCTGTTGTATTAATACTATTAAGAACATTTAATTTCCCAAACAGAGAAGGCAAACAAGGACAATATTCAAATTCTTGAATCCTTGAACTTGACAAGAAAATTCCAAGCATCTCATGATTATGTTTTAGTCTTTCAGTGTTCACTAACAATCTCAATCTGCTGCACCAAGAAAGTAAAGTGTCTCGTTTTTATTTATTTATCAGAAATGTATAGCAGAGTTTATGAATTTCAGTCATTTCTGATTATCTCAACAGTGGCTTAAACTCTAGAACACATCAACAGATGATTTCAAAACTTCAGTGAAGTAAATGATTCAGTGAAGTAAACAATGAAGTCCACAGTCCCTCATTTCACAACTGTCAGTCAGCCTGTAAGTCATTGTCTTACTGACTGCCCTGCATCAGTGAAACACATGTTTCACTGAAACAAAATGTGTACAATAAATGGACAATATATACATATATAAATACAGTACAGTATATGGTTGTAGATATTGATGAAGATGGTATTGAATACATTTGATAGACATGTGGATTACATTAATCAACTGTGTCAAAGTTTGTGTGAATTTAGGGAAGTCCATTTTAAACATCACAGAAAATAATCTGTAAATTATTCTTTACTGAATTGGTTGAGTTTTGACTTTTGACTTTCTGTACTGACCACTCTGTCTGTGTCTCTGTGGTCTGTATGTCTGTGTAATGCTTCGCAAAACCAACAAGACAGAAAACAAGAATCTCTGCTGTTTTCAAACAACCAGACAGAACCAAACAAGGAGGTCAGCTATTCCTGTTTAGTGACACTTAAATGATTTATTAAATACCAACTGTTTATATAAACAAATCTAATCACAAATCAAAAAGTTAACACATGACTCCATTTGGATTCACCGCCATCAGATGCGTTTGTAAACCACTTTCTTCGGCAGGGTTTGAATCTCAATCTTCACAGGACATTTGTAGAAGTGTGACAGCAGCGTCTCTGAATAGCCAATTAAAAAGTAAAACTTGATGGGTGAAATAACATTGATCATCAGCGCACACACAACCAACAGGTTTCCCCTCCTTTTAATCACAATCTCATCGACCAGGCATTCTTGAAAGGTCCCGAAGATGAACTTCCTGATGAAGACGTCCTCCAGTGTTCGTTCAGCTGCTCCATCTTCCCCATGAAGGTTACCTGTCAGAAATGAAAGGTGGGCTTGTCCTCAGTCATCAATACAGCAGTATGAAAGTTACACATTTACTTTATATGAATGACTAATATAGGGCGACGACACCCGCAGTGTAAAGATTAGCAGATTAACGTTATTATTTGCATTATTTCCTGTTATAGACCTAAGTATTTCACACAGTAGCTACAAGTTTGTTCGCTTACTTCTGATAAAAAAGGTTTTTTTTTCAGGTGATACTTACCGGGATGCTGTGACAACCATCCTTTACGATGGCCAATGTGATGAGGGTGAAACGACTGCTCGTATGTCACGGCTTTTTCTCCTTTTCCCACCCGGATGCGAGCGGCAAAATTCTGAAGACAAAATGAAAATGTGAATTACGTCAACCCAGACATTAGAAAATTTAAACAATTTCTATTTGAATTCAATTCATGGCCAAAACACAGACAATACAGACTTTATCAGACGACCACAGTAAAAAAACTGAAAAAAACTGATGGGAACTGAACTGAAGGAATTCATTCAGATGTGAAAGAAATTAAAATATTCACCTATATTCATTCTTGACATTCTTTGCCGATCATGTTTAGAATCTATTGTGAATTATGTAGTACAAACGATGACTAATGTTTACCTTGCAGCAAACTGCAGTGGTGTGGAGGCCTTTACTTCCAGGGAAAAAGCCCTGTGATCCCAATCTGACCCAGGATCCCTGAACATAAACCAGAAAAAAAAAACAATGTTTAATTTGATCTTAAACTGTAATTCTTGAAATGGTCCAAATATTATGCAGATAAATAAACGACAATAGAATCAAATGTTGTATCAAATCAAATGTAACCAGGCATACACTAACTGTAAGGTTGGAGAAGAATGTTCATGACAGGACCAAAGTGAATATTACTGACTGGCCTGCAAAAAGACACTTATGTCAGTAGTTAGGTGACGTTAATGCAAAAATAATGAAAATAATTAGCGGTGTACGGTTTCAAAAGCCTCGAAAGAAGCACATATTCTTTAAAACGAGGAGCATGAGTTCCGCATGAGTTCGCTTACAAAATCAGCATTCGTTCTACCACAATGAAATAGTGAACATTGCTTAAATTGTTGCTGAATAAAGGTCAACTTAAAATATAACTATGACAGTTTTCATACCAGTAGCCTAACGCCAGTCGCACCATTCAAGGACGCCGCCATGTTTCCCGAATGTTCTTCTTCTTTTTCTTTGTATCGACCAAGACTGGACAGCTCGAAGGTTCTGGGCTGCCATCTACTGGTTAAAGTGGTATGTTTATTGCGTGTGTTGATTAGTTTTGTAACTCCTGCAAATATAAATAAATATTTATGATGGAAATTATCAGACTAAAAATATTATTTAGTGGTAAATGTAAATCAACATGTATACTTGAAAAAATCTACGAAGCGTACTGTAAATTGGAACTATTTTTTTTAGCTATTTCTAGCGGACGACTGATGTGTCGGACAAACCGGATAAGGACAAATAAAATTTCATACATATTTGCAGTTATTATCTACAGCTCAATTTAAAGTAGTAATTGCAATTACTAGTAATTTCATAAAGTTTCTCATAGCTCATGTCTATTTTTGTGTATGTGATTATTTATTTATTTATTAATATACTTTCATGCAACTGCTGTGCAATTATTTTTTAAATACAGGACCGGAAGTAATGCAACTGCTCCGCGTAGTGGAAACACTGCAATCAGAGTCATAATAAACCCGTCTTGTTTTCCATCGAAAGCCAAAGCGTCTACTTTTGTACTGAAGTTTATTTTGTAAGTGTTTTTTGTCGAGTAAAACGTGTCAGGCAGCGATGGCTTCGCCGCTGGAGATGACTGAGATGTACGACAACGCGCTGCTAGGAATCTTGCAGCATGTTGGAAACATTCAGGACTTCCTTCAGATCTACTTCGGGTTTTTGTACAGAAAAACAGACTTCTATCGCCTGCTGTCGAGTCCCAATGACAAGATGGGTTTCCCCCCTGGTGTGGCGGAGAAGATGGTACACAAGGTGAAGTTTGATATTAACATCCGCCGCCAAAATATGTTAGTGTGTAATTCAACTTCCCCACTTATCCTCCCAGAGCCCATTCTTCACTTGACATACGTTAATGACGAATAACATATTAACTTAGTTTCATTACTGAAGTCGGTATACAGCATTAGCAGAGTAGCTTAAGCCATTTCCTTAATATTTAAGGTTTGAAATATGTACGTTCATATGCAGTTATGAACTAACCAGTTAGTTATTAAAACATAAGTGAAGCCGAAGTGCTTAAATGTACTTATCACCCTTTCCCTCTTTCTCAGACATTTAAGCTGTTTGAGAAGTTGGCCGAGCAGGATAGAGAGAGACAGTTAAGCGAAATGCAGAAGAGAGCAGAGAGCAGATGTGTTCCTGCTGCAGTTCAGGAACTGGAGGTCAACACTGAGCCGCAGGAGGGGAAGGAGGAACCCAGCCCAGAGACGGCACCGAAGGAGAGTGCATCAGATGATGGTGGGAATGTTCCAGCCCCTGCAGCTTCAGATGTGATCGTCAACCCTCAGCCTGACAGTAGCAACAGCAGCAGTGATGGAGTTTCTGGGACGCCTGAACAAGGAGACCAGGCAGCTGCAGCAACCTCGTCAGAGGGGTGAGTATCATTTACACCTATTATTAATATTATTATTACTACTATTGTTATTGTTATTATTATAAAATAATATTAGGAGTGACTTAGCTTACAATAATTATCACCCACTACCCTCACTTAATGCTTACTTTTTTAACCTTGGTCAGTACAAATGTATATTTTATTTTTGGCTCTTGGCACAATTTGGCTGCTGTTTAAATGATCTGTCAACAGACCATTTTGCACCTGCGTTCTCAAGTAAAAGAGAAAAGACTCGGGTTAACCACATTGCATTAAAGCTAAGTTAATATTCACTCTGGGTAGAATGAACGCACATTATTTGCACGTTCTTCTTATTCTTCTTAGTTATTGCCCCGCAGTGCGGTTTTTATTTAGGATCACACCACATGAGTTTTATGTCAAAGTTTGGGTAACAGCAGTGAATATATGAACTCTATCCTGGATCTGTGTTGTGTTGAAGGACTCAGGAGAGATTTCAGTGCGACCCCGACAGCTACAATGGAGCAGTGAGGGAAACCTACAGCTGGTCTCAGGACTACACTGATGTGGAGATCCGTGTGGTTGTACCCAAGACAGTTGTTAAAGGGCGACAGGTAATCGTGTGTTCATCCAATAAAACAACACGGAACATCACTTTCGCATTGATCACTGATGCTTATTGTTGCTGCTGTGGTCTCCTCAGGTCAGCGTCAGCCTGCAGACCAGCAGCTTAAGAGTGTGTGTTAGGGATGGAGCCAAAGAGGAAACACTGATGGAGGGCGAGTTCCAACACAAGATCAACACAGAAAACTCTCTGTGGAGCCTCGAACCTGGCAGCTGTGTGGTTGTGAGTCACATTTTCTCTAGCCAGGGAGATTATTAGGAAAACCTTTTTTTGTTGAACTGTTCAACTGATGAAGGATTTAAAAACGAAATGCTGCTTTTTTCCTCTTCCATTTAACAAATCTTTTCCCGGGCCAACACAACAGTGAAGGGGTCACAAATCAACCATGGCACCGACATTTTTAGCAAGTTAAAAAAAATCTCCTTACGGTTGTTAATTTTCTTCATCACTGCCAGCATGACTATAATGGGCTTTTAATTTTTTATACTTATTAGTGTGAAAAAATTACAGTTCCTACAGCTAAATATTTTACAACTTTTGACAGGGTCTGATGTTAATCACTGGAATGTCTCATGGATGGGTTATTTCCGCTTGGGGTATTAGTAAGAAGAGGTTTCATGTTCTCAACATGAAACTGAATATTTCTTTGGCATTGAGTCAAAAGTGGCTGTTGAAAGGTTCAGTAGCTCTTGAGCCCCTGTCTTGTTGTTTTGTTAGTTGTTTAGGTTCCCAAATGCTACACACCTCTATGCACTAAAGCTGTATAAAAAGTTGTATTCTCCTGATGAGCTAAATCCGCCATGTCTCTATAATTATCGCCTCCTGTACTTCAAACTGTGTCCTGTTTCAGCTGTCCCTCAACAAGTCCTCAGATGTTTGGTGGAGTGCGGTGCTGAAGGGAGAGAAAGAGATTGACATCAACCAGATTAACCGTGAGCGCTCCATGGCGACAGTTGATGAAGAGGAGCACGCTGTTCTGGACAGACTTAACTTTGACTATCATCAGAAGCTGCAGGGCAAACCTCAGAGCCATGAAATGGTGAGTACAGTACAGTATATGTAACGAAATATAATGATCTTATAGTTCAATCAGTTCAAACCCATGACTCAGTGTGAAACATGACCCTGTTTAGTTGAATAACCATGCTGATATACTCACAGGAATCTAAGAAAGGCATGCATAAAACCTCTCAGTCACTCTCTTTTTTAGTTTTTTAGAGTATTTAAAGTGTCACAGATTGTTATCATAATAGTTGTACTGACATCCAAATGTTAATTTTCTCTTAATCAAAAAAATAAAAAAACTAATTTCCAGATGTTTCCACATCCTTAAAAATACAACAAACACTAATGCAGGAACAAAGATGGAGCTGCTGCTGCTGTTGTCTGTCCGTCAAACTGTATTGATTGTTTAGACACAGTGAGCCAGCAGAGGGCGTGCGCACTTTTATTTTCTGTTAGTGACTGACACAACACTTAAAAAGATTAAAACTGAGAGTGTCACATTATTAAGATGCTGAATAATGTACTGGAGGTGAAAGGCAGCCAACCATGATGTAATATTCCCGAACAGCAGTGTTGGTTAGTTACAGTCTAGTTAACTCACTAGTTAACTGGACTACTGACTGGCACTGCATGTATGTGCATTATTGTTGACTCTATCTGTGTCTCCTCTGCAGAAAGTGCATGAAATGCTGAAGAAGGGCTGGGACGCTGAAGGCTCACCTTTTAAAGGGCAGCAGTTTGACCCGTCCATGTTTGACATCCCGCCCAGCGCTGTACAGTTCTGAGACGTAGATGAAGCTCAGGTAATCCAAGGAACTGGACAATGAGTTTATTTATGGAGCCGGTTGTAATAAAGACGATGTTTACCTGCTGTGTTGGAGGTGTGTCCATAACTCGCTGGTGAATACACACAGTGTCCACTATCATGTGGCCGCAATACACGTTTGTCTGCCTCACTGAGCGACTCTGTCTTGTGTTATTTCCACTGTCAAACCCATCACGTGAGACAGTATCAGTGTGCATCAAGTCAAGCGTGATTACTTGAGTTCATCAGTTTCACTTAAAGAAACAAATCTGTACTTCTAAGATGAGCTTGAACAATATGCAAACACTGAAATGAGTGTTTCAACCTTGGTTGTGGGGCTGCCAGGAATTCAAATGTAGTTACCTGAAATGTGTAGTTATTGATAAAACAAATATTGATAAAAAATACTTTTCATCTAATTATTCCTTTTGGAATTATAAAACACCACATACAATCTTAAGAAAACTGTGTTCTATCACTTAATGAATATAATTTGTTCAAATAAAATGCAGCATATAAAAATATCTGAGCTGGTGCATCTTGATTGATGGCTGCGATCATGTGATCTATTCTTTTGTATCTTGCCTTCTTTAACATTCAGTGACCCACCCCCACCCCACCCTGCCCTGCCCTGCCCGACACACCACTGTCTTTCCCATGCTGGCATTCGAACCAGCAACTCCCCAATTACAAACACTATCCATTACGGAATAGGGCCGGTGCCACCCAGAATCTGCCTACAGTCTTTGTTGGTCCATCGATCAATTTCCACTTCAGCCTTTGTTTGTGGGCCAAGCACAATTATACACCAAAGTAATTCATTTTGATGTTTCACCTGACAAAACACTTTTTACTTCAGTGGGAATTGCAATCTGTGCATGAAAAGACAAAACTTAAAAACAGCTTCTACAAACATTTAATTCATTCATTCATCTTCTACCAGCTCAGCCTTTTCATGGTCAGAGAAAGAGCTGGAGCCAATCACAGCGGTCCATTGGCACCATGGCTGAAGGAATCTGGGGGGGGGGGGGGGGGCCTCTGCACAGTTCACTAGTCAATCGCAGAAACAAAGACAAACAACTATTCACACTATCATTCACACCTAAGGTTTTTAGTTTACAGTGAACAATTAACCTGTTCCTGCCTGGACTGTGGTACAGCTGCACCACCAACCACCAGGCCACCGTTGTGGAACAAAAGTTAAATGCAAACATTACTAGTATTTATTATGCTGTATTAAGATTGCATGTAAAGTATATATGAAACACTTAAATGATCATTCTGTGAAGGAGTTTAAATCCCACAAGAAGCATGTGATGAAAATAACTTCCATTTAACCAGAGATTTCTGGCAGAGCCAGAGTCAGAGGATGCACTCGGCTGACATCCCTCCACCACCCCCGCAGTGAGCAGCAACGCATTCTTGCTTGTAAAGTCCAAGGCTTTGTCTGTTGTTCATGCGGGTGGAGGAACCTCTTAAAATAATATTTGTCTGACCTTTACAGTTCTACTGTCTCTCTGTATCATCCCATGTGTTGGAAACGTCTCCAGTCTGAGTATGAATAAAGGAGTTTGTTAAACAGTGGAGCATCCAGGGGATTCAAGTCACTGCACAGAAAATAATTTAAATAATCTGGATCAGATCTGTAAAAGGAAATCTGATTTTCATGTTTTTATGGTTTTTAGTCTAGACTTCTAGACTAGGGATCTTTTTTTTTTTTCTGGTGTTAGGAACATCATCGGGCAAAATATCCTCTGTGGGAAATGCCTTTCGGGGCCCAGAAGTAAATAATAGTGTGGTGGCCGTCTGACAGGTAAATGAGACTGTGCCCAAACCATTATGTTTATTGTTTGTGCTATTTAGTAAAAGACACATAAAGACAGGCCTCTGCTGCAGAGTGCAGGCTTCTCTGATGAAATCCTAAAAATAGACGGCACCCAGGCAGCCCCAAGTAAGTTACAAGTGAAGTAATTACATTATCGGCTGCGGGCGTCTCCTCGTTTTATGATTTATAATCATGTGTAATCAAATGCAGTGTTCCCCGCGCACTCTTTGATCAGCACATTCTCAGACTCTGATTTCACTTGTTCTTTCTTTTTCTCTGCTCATCTGTTGCATCACATCATGTGGGGGGGGGCGGTGGGGGGTCGGACGGTATCATTTAGCCTTAGATTCCAGACATGCAGGCAAAGGACATTTTAATTATTGTTATCTTCTTTGTTGTTTGAATCATGGAAGTATCACAGATTAATTCTCCAGGTCAGTACAAGTACATGGACATATATTTGCAACATTTCTGTCCACTAGTGGTCAATGAGGAGCTAAAACAGAGATACACTTTATTAACTCCAGACAATAACAGATAAAATATAAAAAGTAAAACAGCAGAGAAAAATAACAGATCAAATATAAAAAGTAAAACAGCAGAGAAACTCAGAGGGAACTCCTGTAACAAAGGGGCGGTTGATGTCACATAGAAACACACAGTAAATGCTGGTGAGTTTGTTTCATAATAGCAAGCCATAAATATTTTCTACGACGCCCCCTGTCTGTAGATAGGACTATTGCTCCCCTTCCTTCCCCGACACAATTTTACAGCTTTTTTCCCTCAAAAATAATGTTGTATTAGGGACATAAAATAACACTGATTTTAAAATGTGTTTGCCATGCTGGACCCTGCCTGCAGTAGCTGTGTGCAACACTTTAGGGGCCCTGCCCCCCACTTTGGGAAACACAGACGTGGGTGACAGTCCAGGAGGGAATACAAAATTAAATTGGAACAAAGAACAGAGAAGGAGCCGAAGGACAAACATAACTGGATCTGACAAACACATGTAAAATCACGTGCGGTTTCTTCAAGTCCAATGCCTGCAGCAGTTTTTTAATGCAGTAATTCCCTTCAAGACCAACAGTTTTGTCTCAGTAAAGCACACTCTGGGTCTCCTGCCACACAGTGCTGCAAAATCGATGCATAAAAATAGGTTCTGGCAGAGATGTTGAGGAGTCCACTCCAATTCTGAAGTGTTTTCCTCTTGGTGCTGCTGCCATTGCCCCCAAACTCTAGACTTTTCCATAGGTGTCAAGTCAGGCCGATTCGACCAATATGGGTCTTCATGACTTTGCGTTAAATCCACATATGTGAGCTTTGCAGTTAGATGTGTCGTTCATTTTTAAAGGAACGATGATGCCTGAGATCCAAGGTTGTAATAGTCTTCGTGGTGTTTACTCCAAGGACTTCCTGATACTTGACTGAATCCATCTTGTTGTCCACATGCTGCAGTTTGCAGGTGCCAGGGGAAGCTAAGCATAACCAGTGAGTCACAAAGCAACTACCATGAATCACAGTATGGTGTCTTAGACACCATCAGAAATAACAGGAAATGTGTGGTGCTGTAAAAATACATTTTGAGCATTCTTCATGCTCATTCTCATTGGTTTGGTAGCACAGGTTTGATACATGTTGTAGACCTACCTTATTGTGCTACTACTGGGCTGGATAACAGGGGGGGGTTTTATGCTATGTGAATCTCATGCTGATGGACGTTGATGCAAATTACTCAGGGAAAACTCAATTTGCACAGATGAAAAGATGAAAAGATGTACACAGGAAGTTTTAAAAGAATGGGAGAGTTTTATTTATTTTATTTTTTTAAGGGCAGTTCACATGTGCCCATGTACTCCATATGGCTCTTAGCCTCTTGACTGGTTAGCCCCTGCTGTAAGTCAACATTGCGTGCTACCTGAGATTACACACCTGAGCCATTGTGTCATTTCACTTTTGTGGTTGTCTGATATTTATTAATGACACTGGTCTGATGATGATGGTCCATGGAATCAGTGCAAAGAGACCAAGGAGCCACAGACCGATGGCCATGGCCTCGTAGGAAGAGCCCAGTCTGATAACCACCAGCGTCCAGTTCCCTCCCACAGTCCAGTTACAAGGCTGCGACCTCGGTTAGGCCTCTGTTGTTTAAGATATTTTAATCTCAATAGGTCTTCGTTGTTTAAAACATGCAGGATTCGGTTAATCGATCACTCTACTTTAACCACAGGCATGAATGGTTTTGTTTGTTGCTGAGTGTGGAATGGTGAATTGACCAGGGTGAACCCCACCCTCACTGGATGACTGCTGGGATTGGCTCCAGGAACAGGTAGTAGAAGCTGAATGAAAGTCAACATTCATTCCCGAGGCTTGAAAATGACCCTCAGTTTGGCAATAATTTGACATAATTTCGGGGTAACGGTTGCGCAGCAGCGTGTGTGTCGTTGGTAAATGTATTTGTGAAGCCAAACGCGTGTATGTGAGACTGCGAGTTGGCTGCAACTATAAACTACTCAGCCCCGAAGGACGTGAGGTGGGCGGAGACTCAGAGCCGGGGTCCACCTCCAGTCCGCAGCGACGCACCGCGCATTTCAGACTCGGCACCGTGCACTTCAGTCCGAGCGGAAGGAGAAGGCATCATGGCAACCACCACTTGTACACGCTTTACCGATGAATACCAGCTGTACGAGGAGCTTGGCAAGTAAGGCGCTCTACTTTAATATCCTTACACATATACCCCTGCCCTGCATGCGTGATACCCGAGCAGCAGCTCCGGGGTTGATGGAGCTCAGCACATGCAGCATCTGCGGTGACGGATGCGCGGTGCGTCGCTTCAAAACAAAACGCACGTTGCCTCGGAGCTGCCGTCCTCGAACCAGTGTCACTGCAGAAGTTATCCTTGCACTTCTGTTGCGGCACAACGACCCCGTGAGACATGCCAACATATTGAGGATAGTTATATTTGGGGGCGCACTTCTGAGCTCATCCACCTTCCACCCCCACCCTCTGTTCCCATCACCTCCTCATTACAAACATCCACCGCCCGGGGCTAATGAGGGACAAACGGGGCTGTTAGATGTCGGTGAGAAAACTTATGTGCTGGAATAATGCTGCCCTCATCATCATCATCTTCATCATCGTCATCTGGAACACAGCCTAGCAGGAGAATCAGGATGATGATGAGGATGATGATGATGATGCTGTGATTTGTACAGAGTTGTAGGTTTTTAAAAGGAAAAAGGAGTGAGAATTGCACCTGGATGTGGATTGTATTGGACTGTATCATGGGACTAAAGGCTGTATAGGTGCCACAGTGGGTATAGAGGCAGAGTGGACTCTGGTGGTGTCTTTGTCAAGTTGAGCGTGGGCAGAGAAGATCTCTCTGCAGCGTTTCTCTCACAGGAGCATTTATTTCACAGTCTCTTTCCAGGGGGGAGGAGGAGGAGGAGGAGGAGGGGATGTTCTCAGTTGTTTGCCACCACTGATGGTTCTTGGCTCCATTAATAAGACCAGGTTCTTCTGTGGTGGTACTGATCTGTGGACCTTTTGTGTGTGTGTAATAAATGAAGCAGAATAGACACGGTTAGAGCAGCAGCTGCCTGTACTGATAACCAGGCTTCATTATTGTTTGTTCATTTTACTGTGTGTTTGTGTCAAGTAAATGGCTGGTTGTTGTTTTTTTTAACCAATCACAGATGCTCAACGCCCAGAATGGCAGAGACATACAGTACACTTTTATAGCTGTGACCCATTTATTTTTCTAAAGCATCGAACTTTGTCCTAAATGTTTTTTCAACAAAACATATCAGTGCAGCTTTTTGAAACATGGTGTAGTCCAGGTCTCTACGTTTAGGTTCTAAAAACTTGAGTGTTTCCATCAGTGAATCCCTTCTTGGTGGAATTCTGATGGCTGTCTTTCACACCACGTCACAAACTGCGTCTTTGAGTCGGAACTGAAATGGAGTTCATTTCCGAGTTTTTTTGAAAATTGTCCGTTCTGTCTCTCTCTCACACTCACTCTCTGTCTCTGTAATAGTTACAGAAACAGTCTTGAAGAAAAGAGATCCTGATTCTTCAGGAAGGAAGGTAGTAAAGTCAAAATGAGCAGAAACTACATCTGTGGTTTGAAGACACAGGGCTGAGGCAGTGGGACATGGAGGCTGATGGTGTAACAGATTATACTCTGTGGTGATGCCTATATTTAGCAGCAGAAATAAGGAGATTGGTCAACCTTGTAACGAATATTATGTTACCAAAAAAGAACAAACTCCCTAGGATCAGGAATGATCCAAATGATGCAGCAGTTGAAAACCTTGGAACATCACGTCTCAACAGAGAAAAATAAAATATTAGTCCAGCTCCTATTTCTCCCTGTACCTTCTTCTGTGTCTGTTGAAATGCTCTAAGAAATATTAAAAAATATATGAATTAGTTATTAAACTATCTATGTACTGGCCAACCTAAAAAGAATTAGAATGGGTATTTTAGTATAATTCTTTTGATTCTTAAAAACAACCTTTTGGTTTTAAATTCTTGGATCAAACCTTTATAATTCAGTTTAGTTAAGGGCCTTCCGTACAGCCTCCATGTTCATAAAGCACAAGAGTTGTTTTTATTCTAATGTTAATGTGATTAGTGTCGATACTGATTTGTTCCAACATTTGAGCTAATTTCATGCCTCGTACGTACAGAAAGTGAAATCCTTTTCTCCCGTCGACATGAGAAACTTCCAAACCTTCAAAGAGTTCTTAAATTAATTTGTATGATTTTTCTAAAAAAAGAAAGTGTTTCCTCATCTCCCCGGCTGTAAGTAATGGTTTTAATTAAGGAAATTACAGACCACATAAATTCCACGGTCAGCTTTTGAGCTGGACTTTTGGCTTGAGGAAACAGAAGGAACAGCGTTCTCCCTGGTTGCTGGGGCCACGGTACAGTCTATTCCTGACGTGACAGCGAGGAGATGAACCCACGGTTTGTCACATTCTGCAGATTCACTATCAGATAGAATTCACTTCTACATGTTGGACTTTAACTTGGTGAATAAGGTACTTTCCAATTGAATAATTTAGCCAAAATACGCAACACCACCGAACCCCACTTTTTTAATTTAGCCAAAATACGCAACACCACCTTATAACTCATTTGTTATTCCGATTTTAAACATTTTTTACTCTTTCTTCTCTGAGAAAAGAACAATATTTATTTGTTGCATGCTGCATAATTATGCCATAAATATTATATTTTTACCCCAGTTTATTCCAATGAGAAACGAGGAGCACTTGGAGGATTAGTTTCAGTCTCGGCTCAGCTCATCAGCAGGTTTTGGATGAAGATCCAGCCCACCTCCCGACTCCCACCTGCCTCACACATCACCTGTCATGTCTTCGCTCTCCTGCCTCCTTTGACAAACGGCGGGGATGTCAGGGAGTGTCATGCTTACTCAGCCTCATCTGCTCATGATGTATGCATGTCGGAGAGCTTTGGAGGGAAGCAGCGGCTCTGTGCAGGGATGTATGAGTGTCTGATTGCGTAACAATGCTGAGGTGAGATATAATTAGCCCAGAGAAGAGACAGAGGTAGCTATTTCTGTTTGACTCTCCTGGGTTTGACGGGGAAATGTGGCCTTAAAAACTCGCCTCCACACAGTAACAGTGCTTATCCATTAAAGCCGTCATTTCTTGCCTCTTGATTCCACTCACTTCAGTCATAAAGAAAAGAAACTTTGAGAGCCTTGTTGTTGTGATTATGGATTGGTTCAGATGAAAAAGTCCTTTTCTTACCTGGTTTTTGATCATAAAAAAGACGAACAAAAATCAACTTTTATTCTAGAAAACACATTAGCTGCTTTAGCAGTCTACTTTAGTTGGATTTAATTGGATATTCCTAAATTTCCCAAAGGGAACTCCTAAGGGATTAATAAAATCCCAGTTGTGAGACTGTCTCTCTATCTGTCTATCAACAGTAATCAAAGAAATGTTTGTGCTGTAATTCTGTTCAATTTTGAATTCGATGGATTTCTTAGGATTTAACTACTTCTTGACAACACATTGTGACAACCGTGACAAAATGGAACACATTCTGGCCAACCACTGGACCAGAGGTTAGTGCTCTTGCCTCACAGCAAGAACATCACCTGTCTGATTTCAGGTGTTGACTGATGGTCGTTCCGTAGAGAGGTTGCATTTTCTTCCTCTGTGTGCAATTAGAAAAATTCAACACTTCAAATTGACTGTAGGTGTGAATGTTGGTGTGTGGTTGTTTGAATCTATATGTGGCTCTGTGATGAACTCCGCCTCACACAGTTCACTCCAGTCACAGCTTTAATTCATGTTGACAGTGATGAACTAAACCCATGTCATCAGTAGTCTCTGACCTGCAGGTGTGAAAGCAGCTGTGTATGTGGCAGGTGTTCAGGCCTTCAGTTAATGTCATATTCACTGCGGTGGGTCGAAAATGACGTATAAAGATTAAAATATAAATACATATATATAAAATAAAATTAGAGTTTTAGTCTTTAGCTGAAAGGTACAACTGACTTGTCCCTAACTCCTGTGTTTGTTTCCAGGGGGGCCTTTTCAGTGGTGCGCCGCTGTGTCAAACTCTGCACAGGCCAGGAATACGCCGCCAAAATCATCAACACCAAAAAACTATCGGCCAGAGGTGAGAGCAAAATCTTTGGTGTTTGGCCTCCGCTTCAGAGGCTTGTGTTTGTCTGAGGCATTATGTTTTTGTCACTGTTAATGTTGGTTTCCCAGACTGAAAGCTAATTAGCATATTTTAGCACTTGTATGATTCCAGTGTGAAACAGTCACGTCTGTTCTTTGCACAGAGACAGATGATAGCTTCAGTCTGATGGACTGTCCAGGTCTATATGAGCTACGTTTAGGAGGATTTTTAAATTGTCTATAAAAAATTATGACGTCAGGAAGAATAAAAAAGTCTTTGGGCTACTTACTTTTCTCCTTAAATTTAGAAGTAAAGTAAAGCATGTCTAATTACTTTCTCTTTAATCAAACCCAACCACTAATTTCATTGTTCTCCTCCACTAACAGTCACAGCAGCCTCAAAATACTGAAAAAGACAGGCATAAATGTAGTGCAACATGTTTGTGATTTGTGTTAATATTAACAGTAGTAATGATACGTGGAGAAACAGTGGTGATGATGTGGAGGTTAGCTCTGTGCTAATTAATAGCCTTAGTGGTCACAAAATATGGGCCTGATGTCACATTTCTAGATGCTGTCACAATCACAAAAGAAATAAACATATTTGTAAAATGTAATTTTTTTTTACATTCCCTTTTTGCCTTTGTAAAGAAATGTAAAAAAAAAATCAAGCCTTGTCCTATTTTCTTTCATTCATTTCCCATTCTCTTTTTATATATTTTTCTAGTGTTTCTGCTTTATCTTTCATATGTTCTCCCTCCCACTCACACCCTGGTTTTATCCTTTTTGCAGACCATCAGAAGTTGGAGAGGGAAGCCCGTATCTGCAGATTGCTGAAGCACTCCAATATTGGTGAGACTGTATGCACGAGCACACAGACAGCAGTCTGCTAACATCATTTGTGACCATGCCTTGTTTATTAAAAAGATTTAGTATTTTTTCCAGTCTCTGTAAACAAACTTGTCTAGCCTTATTTCAACTGCTCTGTACAACTGTTTGGCTAACAACAAAGATGATGCATTCATATATAGACATATATAAAAAAGATACAAGCTAATCGAGGCTAGCATAGCTAAGTTCCTTGAAGCTACGCTTAGCTATTCGGTACTGTGTTCAGTCTCTAAGGCTAAGGGTCCACAAACCCAAATGAGATGCCGGCCACTGCTGCTGTTGTCCAACACAGAAAAACTGAGACATTTAAGAAAATAATTCAATGTATTGAAAATAGATCAAATAAATAATAAAAAAGGGCCAGAAATGGAGTTTGAAACCCCATGCTGTAAACCTGTATGGAATCAAGTTGTGACCAGCTCTGAAAGACACTCCCACAATTCTACAAAGGAGTTCTGTGATGGAAACACCACCTGCAGAAGTTAGGGTTAAAGAGCTCTGTTAGTGTCTTTTATTTTTAAGTTTTATATATATATATATATATATATATATATATATATATAAATGTATATATGCTTAAGTGCATAATTGACTTTTGACCACTGCTTCATGAGGAGCAGAAATCACTAGAGAACTGAGTAAAACTGAGGAAAGAATAGAAAAAACATGAATATTGGTAAAAGCATGTTTGGACAGACCTGGCTTTTGATTGGCCACAGGGGTCAGATTTCCAAATAATGTTGTTGGACCACATACACATGGGACAACTTCTCAGTCGTACTTTTTAAAGAGGACACAAACATATGAATTATTAAATATAATTTTTTACTCATAGTTTGTTTATGCTTCGATATCTGTTCTTCCTTCTTTCTCTTTACCTCTTTGTAGTTCGCCTCCATGACAGTATTTCTGAGGAAGGATTTCACTATTTAATCTTTGACCTGTGAGTCCCTCTCTGACTTTCACTTTCACCATTCCTTCCTTCCTTCCTTTCCTTCTTTCCTTCCTTTCGTCTGTCCTTCTTTCTTGCTTTGTTCCCACCTTGCTTCCATTCTTCCTCCCTTTTTCCTTTTTTCTCTCCCTTCCTTCTATCATTCTTTTCTTGCTTTCTCTCTTTCCTCTCTGCCTTCACATTTAACCCTATTTTGTCATTCCTTCCTTCCTTCCATCCTTCTTCTATTCTTTCCTTTCTTCCCCCTTCTTTGCTTCCCCTTTTCTCTCCCTTCCTATTTGCCTCCTCTTATTGGCTGTACTCTGCTGTTCTACCTCATCCTCCTCTTCTTCCTCCCCCTTATTCTTCATCCTCCTCCTCCTCCTCCCTCTGCTCCCCCCACGTTTCATTTTCCGCTCTCTTCTTTCAACCTGTCGTCTCTACTCTGTCTTAAATATATTGTTTCTCCCAGTCTAGATTTGCATTTTCTGTTTTCCCTCCGTTTCTAGTCGTCTTCGTTTTCCTCCTTTTTAACCCCCCCCCCCCACACACACACTTCCAAGGCAGTCCCCCCCATTACATAACAGTATAACCACACCCCTCCACCCTACATTCTCCCTTGCGGATCTCACTTTAGCACACAAACACACACACATACACACACACACACATATTCATCCACACTCCCACGCATGGAGCCAGTCTCCATGGCAACCCACTTGGAGTGAATCCTGCAGCCGGGGTTTCCCCCTAATGAGGACATCCCCCTCCTGTCTCTCTGTGTGTGTGTGTGTGCGTTTGTGTCAATGTGTGTGTGCAGCCGGAAAGACAAAAAGAGGCGTACACCGTCCTGCATGTTAACTACCAACATCTCTCCATTTCTCAGGGTAACAGGAGGAGAGCTGTTTGAGGATATTGTGGCTAGAGAATACTACAGTGAAGCCGATGCCAGGTAAACAGTCGCTGCTTCCTCCCCCCGTCGTCTTTGTTTTCTTCCCCTCCATGTGTCAGCTGCCCGGCCTCTGCAGTCCTCCAGCACAGTTGGACGCTTCTTATTAACACACGCACAGTCAAAGTCTAACACTGCGGCCAGTTGTTCTGATGGATTATGTCTCGCTTTCTGTGAAATGAATAACAAATTAAGATTGAAGGGTTTTTTTCTACCACGAGTCAGAGTCAGAGTTTCACTGACATATGGAAACGCACACATTCATGCACGCCCACATCGTACCCCCCCGGTCCACCACCCACCCCCCACCACGGGAGGTTGACTTTAAGCCGTTCGAATGTGGAGGAGGTTTGTGGGGGAGAGAGAGCGAGAGAAAAAAAAATACAGGGATGAAAATAGTGAGAAAGAGAAGGAGGGATGGGAGCTGCTGTTTAATCAAATGAGTAAATAAATAAAGAAAACGATGTTAATTCTAATTAGTTTTGGTTTTATTTCTCTCTGCTGCTGCAAGCAGTGAAGTAAAAACAAATCTGAGTCTGAATGCAGCCTCAGGTGAAGTTACATAAAATTGACAGCTGGTATCAAGGTCGTTTGGGTCCATTTAACTACTACGACATTAGTTTGTTTTTTTTTATGTACAAACATATGTATACATAATACATATATTTATACAAACATACAGTATGGTTACAAGTACATACATAAATATATCGTATTAGTTGTGTCAAACAAATTAAAATACAGTATGTAATCTGATTACAAGAGAACTGTTCACACACATATATAACTATGTATAAAAACACATGTATATACTGTATGAAAAAATGCAAAAACACGCATGCACATGCACTTATATATGTATAATATATATATATTTTATATAAATATATAATTTAATATATAATTTATATATTAAAGTATATTGTATCTATACACATGTGACATGGGGCTAAAATCTTATTAATCTAATCTACAAATTAAATAATGTGATTTTCAACACCCCTA